GAGAAGTGTAAGGATCAGTTAAACTCCTCGCTCCCTGGCCAGGGCGTTGAGCGCCCAGCGGGCCCCGCCAGCGCGCACCGCGGTACCTTGAAGGCCTGCGCCAGGGCTGTGGCGCCGTCGTTCTCCAGCCGGTTCCTGCCCGCCACGAACACCCTCAGCCTGAGGGGGGCGCCCTGCGCGCCGGACCTCCGGTGGCACTCCGTGAGGGCTGCAGCCAGGATCTGCGGGGACACAGAGTCACTCGGGGGGCCGGACACCAGAACGGGGGGTTGGGTTTTCCCCAGGGGCCCCCCCCCTTCCGGTTGCTTTTTTGTAGCTGTTCTTCTTGGTGGCCTCCTCCTCCTCCTCACCTTGCCCCCTCCGATGCCCATGCCGCAGTTGTTGAGGCGCAGTTCCCGCAGCGTGTAGCAGGAGGCGCTCTTGAGCAGCTCCTCGATGCCCCTCACCCCGTCCGGCCCGAAGGCGTTGTCGCTCAGGTCCAGCTCGGTCAGGCGGGCCCCGGCGGTCATCAGCGCCGCCCCCAGGGACGTCTGGGGGGGGGGGGACAGGGCACGCATAGTACGTCAGTGCACACGTCACGCCCCGAAAAGGTGCTTTATAAAGAGTCAAACCGATCGATCGATCAATAGACACACCATCATCCCGGGTGCCCCAGACCAGGTGACCACACACCTGCTGGTTTTCTCCCCCTCCCACCTGAATTAGATCATTGATTTAATTGATTAATTGATTCGAGAAGTTGCTTCGCTGGAATCTTCCCATCGTTCCTCGTCACAAGTTTGGGATGCCCCCTTCCCCCACCCCCCCCTCACAACCACACTATGTAACGCGTCTCAGAGCGGGGAACACACAGCTCAAATGAACCTTACTATTGTTAAGTCGTCATTAAAGGGTTTTACTGTGTAACTAACTGAATGGCCCTGCTGGACCAAAACCCAGCTGGCGTGTGGGTCACCAGGACCGGGACTGGGACTGGGACTGGGAACCACTGCTTTCCAGTCTGTCACCATTACGGCTCAGGCTCAGCAGGAACTACGAGCCGAACACAAACATAGCCGGCAGTCGGCACGCAGTCAGGAACCTTGGGAACTATGCACCCTCTGACCAGACATCAGCCTGCCGCGTCTGCAGCTATCTACCTGCCCAGCAGGGGGCAGCACCGACTCACCAGAGCAGGGGGGATCTCCGCACGCAGGCGACCGGTGAACATGTCACTCCAGTAACATCTCTGCCGCAGAGGAGAGGAGAAGGAGAGATTAATACAGACTGAGCTAGTTTTCCTTCCAGCTGAGACCTACACCTCTGGTGCTTATGGATGACTTTATTGACCTACTTGCTGGCTCAGACTTTTATTAAACTTGTTTCCCCCCCCCCAGAGAAAAAGTCAAAAACACCTTTTTATAGAATAATACAGTCTACTGCAACTACAACAACTTGTTGGCCATTGTTTCTGACAAAACGGCTCATACTACTTGATCGATCGGGGATGACGTAAGTGGGAGTGGCACTGCCAGACACGCCCAAAGTGGGAGGGGCATTGTATCCAACACACCCACAGTGGCAGGCATGACCATGTTTGGAACGATACTTGGACACGCCCACGGGTGGGAGAGACACGACGCCTCTCGGACACGCCCACGATGAGGGTTTCTACACCTGCAGGTGCAGGGGGGTCACATTTCGGGCAGCACACCCTGCACGAGGGCAGTACTTCTCAGAACCTGGCACAGGCTTGACCCCCCCCCCATCACACAACCCCCCCCACCCTGTAGGAGCTGATGGCACGTTCACAGAGAAGGCCGAAACGGATCGAGCTGTGGTTACGAGCCCGGGCCGGCCGAGGGACTGACCTGCAGCTGGCCCTTGCTCTCCAGGGCCTTGGCGATGGCCTGGGCTGCCTCCACGCCCACAGTGTTGCCCTCTAGGCGCAGGGCCTGCAGGCCTGGGAACTGCTCGATCTCCCTCACCAGCTCTTCCGCTACAGAGAGAGGAGACACAGGGTGTAAGTGACCTGCTCAGTCTCCCACTACAGAGAGAGGAGACACAGGGTGCGAGTGACCTGCTCAGTCCCCCACTACAGAGAGAGGAGACACAGGGTGCGAGTGACCTGCTCAGTCTCCCGCTACAGAGAGAGGAGACACAGGGTGCGAGTGACCTGCTCAGTCTCCCACTACAGGGAGAGGAGACACAGGGTGCGAGTGACCTGCTCAGTCTCCCACTACAGGGAGAGGAGACACAGGGTGCGAGTGACCTGCTCAGTCTCCCGCTACAGAGAGAGGAGAGAGGAGAAAAG